TAGAATTATATATTATTTTGACACTATTGCCATAGCCGCGGAGCTTGCTTGATCCCGTAAAGTGATTTCAGCAGTTGACAGACTTTGTTAGGTTCCCCGTTGGTACCGTGTGGGAGCTCGACGAAGATTTCCGCGTCGACAGGTGCGTAGAGGAACGCGTTGGCGACATTGATTTGCCGTAGCTTCCTTTTCTTCATGGCGGCGATCGCGAGGAGGATTCGAAGTGAGGTATGTCGGCTAACCGGGGCGAATGTCTCGGTGAAGTCCCGTCCGTGCTCCTGATCGAATCCACGCACAACCCAGCGTGCTTTGAACTTCTCAATTGTACCGTCTACTTTTGTTTTAACGCGGAAGACCCATTTCCCGGTGAGAATGGTCTTGTTCCTTGCCACGCTGATGGGGACAACTTTCCAGGTGTTCCATTCCTCCAGCGCCTTTAACTCTCTGTCCATGGCTTCACGCCATTTTTCCCTGTGTTCCCCCCCCAGAGCCTGCTGAACCGTCGCAGGCTCCTTAGGAAGAGTGTTGCCGTAGACTGCGGTGATGAGTCCGAGAATCTGCAGTCTAGTCTGTGAGTAGCGGGGAAGAGTTGCATCCTCGGGATAAGCGGCTTCATCTCCCGCTTCTGGATCAGGTATGAAATTCGTTCCTACTCGTTCTGCTTCGTTGGTGTTGACTCTCGCAGGTGTTACGTAACCGTTGTCGGCGAAGTAGTAGAAGGTTTCGGCGTTGACACTTTCGCAAGGGTTATCTTCGTCCATGGGGACGTCGACGGAGCAGAACGGAAGGGGTCCAGCTTCTTCTGATGCGTTGGCCACATTTTGCTCGTCCCAGTCAGCTTCGTCCGCTGTTGAGGTGAAGGCTCGGTCACCACGAAAACCACCTGTGGGATCTTGGTCCTCTTGCAGGTTGGCAAGGTATGTCTGGAGTGTGAGTCGTTCGTAGAAAATGACGTCGCGTGCTGCTACTGTTTCCTTGGAGTGGACGTCAAAGATTTTCCACGCGTTGTAGTTCTTTTCGATGCCGAGGTGTAGTCCCCACTGTGCGCGTTGAGAAAATCGGCCCGGTCGTGCTGCTGGGGGTCGGTACTGTACCATGCATCCAAAAACTCGTAACATTTTTGTGCTGCCCTGTTTCTCTGTCCATAGCAGATGCGGTGATGCGCTGTTCGGAAGCGATGATGACGACAGCAAGTTGTGCAGCATGACGGCGTGGTCCATTGCTGCAAGCCACTGGTGGTTGGGTAGCCGCATGCCACGTAACAGTCTGCGCATGCTGTTCTGCAGAGTCCTGTTCATTCTTTCTGCTACACCTTGCTGCTGATGGGCGTAGGGAAGAGAGAGGAGCCGCTTGATTCCCCTTTCCGCCAGGTACTGCTTGAATCGCTGTGAGGTGTATTCTCCTCCTCCGTCAGACTAGAAGCTTTTCAGCTTTACGCCCGACTCTCTTTCTGCTACTGGTAGCCAAGTAGCGAATGCTTCGAGGACCATGTCGCGGCTGGGTAGGTTTAGATGCCAGACGTAACGGGTGGTGGCGTCGATGAAGGTGATTGTGTAGTTGTATATTACTTGTCCTGGTTCCCGATTGTACAGGATGTCGCTATACACCTTTTCGAGTGGTGCATACGCGGGTACGCTCGGGTTGTGATGAGGAGTGAACGGCCGATGTGGTAAGTTGGCTTCGGGGCAGGTAAGACATGTTCCTTGTGCCCGTTGAATTTCTCTGCCGTCGAGTAGTATTAACGAGTCCTTGTCAAGGACTCCTGCTCTTATTGTGTTGTTTAACACAGTGTTGCTTGGGTGTCCCATGCGTGCGTGCCAGATGTCTTCGGAGGCGCGGTGTCCGGGTGAGCGTCGATACGCGTCGGAGTTGGAGTAGAAGCTGGCGGTGAAGTTTGCGCTTCTATGGACTTCCCGTTGAGCCGGATTCAGCTGCTGTGCGGGTGTTGGTGGTGCTTCGTCAACGAGGACTGGTGTCGTTGTTGCTGCTACTGCAGTTGTTCTTGCTACTGTCGATGATGTCTCTGCTGCTGCCGATGTTGTCTCTGCTGCTGCCGATGTTGTCTCTGCTGCTGCCGAATGTTGTATTGTTACTAACGCACGTGTTCGTTCTGCTTCAGGAATGGTATGTGAATACCAAAAGCCTTCCGGACTGAAGCAAGGGTCGAGATCCGGCGGGTGCGTCCAAGATGTGAAGGTAACGATCCCGTCAGTGTCTGCGGTGCCTAGGTCTGGGACGAAATTGAGAACGAAGACATTGTTCTTCAGGACCGCCTTTCCGATGTAGAGGCCGCCCTTCCCGTGGTACAGCTTGAACTCCTGGGTGGTACTGTCGGCTTCCAGATGTATGCCTTTCGCCATCAACTGACTGACGCTCAGTAAGTTGTAGCCAAGTCCTTCTGCTATTAGGACTTTGGACATTTGCAGCATGACATTCGTCTCTCGTGACTGAAGTTGCACTACTCCTTGTCGTCGTGTGCGCAGGTTCTGATTATTGGCGACAGTGATGACGACTTCTCGTTGAAGTTGGTGCTCGCGTTGAACGAAACGTCCTGAAGAGCACATATGTTGTCCGCAGTAACTGTCCAAGAACCATGTATCCTTCCCGGACGGCTCGCTTTGAGCGATGGCGGCGTACGTCGGGTTTGGTTGAAGTGACTCGCGGCGAGGCGTGCTGTTGTTGAGTTGTTCTTCTGGTGAGTAATATGGTGGTGACTCAGTTACGCAGGAGTCACTCAGCCTTACCATGCAGCTGACGATGTTTCTTGTTCCTTTCGCAGGTTGTCCCGTCGATGTTGTTGAGACTTGTACTGAAGTTGTCGGATTTGCTTGCGTTGAGGCGACTTGACTACTTGAAGGGCGAAGTTGGCGTTGCGGCGACGTTGACTGTTGTCGATTCGGGCAGTGCGTACGAGGATGCCCTGAAGTCTTGCAGAGGTGGCAGAACGGAGGTACGATTTTCGGTCGATTGTTGTTGTTGTGGCGCCGTTGAGTGTGAAACGCGAATTCGGGCACTGATGCCTTTCTCTTGTGCCGTTCTTCTTGCAGGTCCATGTCTTGCTGCTCGGCGTGGATTTCGGCGCAAAGTGTTGCTTCAGAAATTTTCCCGTGGGCTCATAGTATGGCGCGAGTGGAGCGCCAGTGAGGACCAAGACCGCCGATGACAACCGTGACGAAGGCGTCCTCTGAAATCGATCCTCCGCATCGAAGAAGCTTGTCGCGCAGCTCGCGGCAGCGACTGATATACGCCATTCCCTTCTCGCCTGATTTCATTTCGATTGTTGTCAGCTGCGCCATTAACCGACTTTGGTTTACGCTGTCTGTTGCTTGATACAGGCTCTTCAAGTGATTGTACGCAAGCTCCGCGGAGTTGCCGTAGCCTCGGTAAGACCGTATGTTTTGTTGTTGAGTTGGAGTGATGTTCCTCAGTAGTATCGTGTACGCCATCATCGATTGATAGGTGTATTGCTGCTTCTCATACTGTGTGCCGTTTGTTGGGTATGGCAAGGACCCGTCGAAGAAGCCAAGGATTTGCGCTCCTTCCATCATCAGCTCGAATTCGAACGACCAGGTAAAGAAATCCTTCCCGTCGAAGGGTTTTGTCGTTTGCAGTTTTAGAACGTGCGCGAACTGCGACTGAACTTGTAGTGCGTCCAGCGTTCTCTCTTGTCCCGGTGCAGGTTGTGGTTGTGGCATGAAGCTGACGGAGCCGCGCTGGGGCTCGTACGGAGCGAAGGTAGGTTGCAGTTGTTGATTCCCGCGTGCGTAGGATGAGCCATCGAGACTCATGGGCGTCACGTTGTTGTTGTTGCTGTTGTTTGATTGCGCAGGTGCTCCTTGCTGATGCTACTCGTAGAAGGACATGAAGGAGAAGAACTTCTCCATCATGCTTGGATCGAAGCCCGCGCCTTGGTTTGCGGGTGTTTCAGTAGACCCAGCGGCCGGTCTCGTTGTTGTGCCTTCCTCTGTCTATAGGCCAGAGGCAGGAGGTGGAGTAGGAGTAGTACCAGGAGAGCCGTTGGAGGAGCTCCTCTCCTTTCTGGTAGACAGACATGTCTCTTGGTGTATTAGGTGTTAAGGAGAAGTAATTTTAACCCTAACCAGCTCTCATACCATGTTGGGCTGAGTGCCCCATAGGATCTTTGGTAGGGTTAAACTCTGAGTAGAGATGTAGTAGCGGAAGCGTTTAAATGAAGTCCTTGAACCACCTTGCGCTGGTATGTGAGGGCAAAGTAAGTTGTCTAAAACAAGCAAGTACAAAGGTTTATATAAGAGTACAAAGAATACGAAGAGATATAATTAAACTGTTTTACTGTTGCGGTTCGATACAGTGCGACTCGGGCAACTGCTCAATGTCGAGTCAGTTGTGTGTCCTTGCTGTCGCGCTGCATTTGTCAAGTCAAAGGTCGCTGACCTTTGACTTTCGCGTAACCTCCAGCGGTAACTTCAACCTCCGAGGGTTGACTCGCTGGTGCCTCGATATGCTCTGCTTCGCTTGTGCCTTGGTGTTTCGACACGACAGAGGCGCTTAAGATTGTTTGTTCCCAACGAAAATCAAGGGAAAACGGTCTGGAAGTGTGATGAGAGAGAATTGGTGGCTGGTATGGCCCACTGAGGTTCACATTAGGCAGATCTCGTGAATGGAAGCTTCCATAATGGTACCGTAATGTGATTCGTAACAGAAAATTTAAAAATAAAAATCATGCATTGTGATCCAGCTGGGCTGGAGCTAGAGAGGAGCTCATCGCGAGTGGATCTTCACGTGGCCATCTAGGCCAAGAACATAAACAAACCAGCCGCACTCAGCTGATCATCCTCACAAGCCCAACTCCCCATGCTGGCCTCTATCATATCTTCCTCTGGGAAAAACAGGCAAAAAAGAAGCTACTTGCATGCGATCCCTTGACCTCCATTCACCGCCCTGTGTCCCACAGCCGCTTATTACATGCATCACATGTAAGCCACATCCCACCAGCCGCACTGCCTCCAGCTCCCAGGCCGTCAAGGATATACAATCTCCACTGGTGTCCTGCGCACCCACCTGCTGCCCCGAATGAACGCTTCAGGCATGAACGGAGCCACCTGCGCTTCATTCAGCAAGCCAGGTCGAGCCCACGTCACACGCCCACTCGTCCCCGCACCCGGCCCTGTGTTCTGATACTCCCCCAGGAAAGCCCTCGGCCCGTAGTTCTCCCCGGGCCACGGAGCCCACCCCTCCGGAAGGACAGCATCAGACAGGTAGCTATACATGTACACGACACGCGCGTGCGATCTCCACGGCCTTCCCAGGTGTGCTGTCACGCGCTGACTGATTCGTGCAATCCAGCAGCGGTAGAAGACGAACCCGCCTTCACGTTTTGATGCTGTGTCTCCTCCGTGGGTGGCGATGGTGGCAGGGCTGTTGTTCTCGGGGCGTGGCACGGGCACGATGCGGCAGCGGTCGAAGACGGCGGCGCCGTGGCGGCCGTATATGAAGTCCACGTGGCCAAAGATGGCGCAGTTGCGGAAGTAATGCCGGCCGCGGTGCGAGTTGACGGTGTCCTGAGGACGAGGGGGGGACAGAGGGAGAGGGAATGGAGGGGGAGGGAGAGGGCGAGGGATAGAGCGGGGGAGAATGGGAGGGGAGAGAGGGAGGGGAAGAGCAAGAGAGAGGGATGGGTGGAGTGAGAGAGAGGGTGTGGTAGAGAGAGAGGGGGAGAGGGATAGGAAGCGGAAGAGGTCGAAGGAGAGGAAAAAGGAGAGGAGGGACAAGAGGGAGAGATGAGAAAAAGGCGGCTTGATGGTGGAAGAAGGCAAAAAAAATGAGTGGAGGGGGGATTGAAGGTTCATTGTAAGAGGGAGGGAAAGGAAGAATATGTACCAGAATGATTGGGTTGGATGTATGATTGAATGCAGCGGTTACTAATATCGAAAAGCAGAGCTGAGCAGATGGAAAAGGATGTGCGGTCTTGACCGAGCAGAGAGCAAAGAGCAGCAACAAGAGGGCAGAGAGAGGAGGCAGGAGAGAAGGGAGAAGAGAGAAGAGAGAAAGGAGAGAGAGTATAAAAAAGAATAGTGAAGAGATAAGAGAAAAGGGAGAAGAGAGAAGAGAGAAGAGAGAAGAGAGCAAATAGGAGAGAGTGCACCTGGAAGCCAACAAAGACACAGCGGTACGCAATGGCTTTGTCCTTGGATGCCCGGAACGCAACTGCAGCCTCCATGTCAGGCGACGCAGTGTTCTCGAAGCGAATGCCCATTGTCACAAAGTTGTTGCCCGCCACAGCTGACACCGGGCAGAAGAAGAGAGAAAGAGGGGTGAGAAGCTAACAGAAAAAGAAAGCGCAGTGGCACGGTACATAGGTATTACCTGGGATGGCTCAAGGGCAGTGATACCTTGAAAAGCAAGAAGACAATTGAGAGGGGCGTGAGGAGAGGGCGGGATAGAGAAGAGGAGAGCTTGCGGGAAGCTGAGAGGTGCGGGAAGCTGAGAGGTGCGGGAAGCTGAGAGGTGCGGGAAGCTGAGAGGTGCGGGAAGCTGAGAGGTGTGGGAAGCTGAGAGGTGCGGGAAGAGGAAGGAGAGGGGAGTGTTGTAAGTGCAGGGTAGCATGCAGAGCGACTGACCAAAGGAGGGGGTATCCCATGTCTCGAAGCCAGCGCCATTGCTGCGGTTCCCTGTGATGACTGTCTGCCATGCACCGCTGCCCAGCAGCACCACGTTCTCTCGCTCCACCTCCACGTTGCCCACATACCGCCCCGGCTTCAACTGCACTATGTACCATGCCTTGCCCTCCTCGCTGTTAATTATCTCCACTGCATCCTGGCGGTGCCGTGCCATCATGAGAACAAAGGTTAGAGCGTTATTTTTGCATTTTGTAAAATATACTAGTCTAGTATCATTGAAATTGTACGAGTTGGAGGCGATTTTGGTAACACGCCAATTTTATATTGAAAAGAAGGTGTGTAGCTCAGATTCAGTACAGTCTTAGTCTACGTTGGCTGGATAACGAGATCGTTACCATTCATTCCAGCAAAGTTGGGCCAGGATCCCAAGATTTAAACAGTTAGTGGCCTGTAATTGATGAGAATTTGAAGTATATTCCTTTCTTTTACGTCCAAAGCTGCTATGTCAAGGCTTTTCCTTGCTTTCCTTCCGTTTCTAGGTATGAGTAAGACCCCCTCCATATCTACCAACAAGTAGTACGTGCCAGCTCGAGTACATGCCTGCATGCTAGTGCATGTCAGCTTCGTCATTGGTACATCTCGGCATAATTCTAGAACAAAAGCGTAAATTATGTGGACAAATGACCTTAGGCATAAGTCACCCCGCCCGCGAACAACACAGGTACATACCTGAAGGTTAGTGACGTTTCCCGATCCGTCCTGAGCCACGATCAGATCCGGCACGATTGGCTTCTTCCGTAGCGATCTCCTCCGCACCGTCGGATCACCCTTCACGCCGATTTCCCGCTCCCAATGTCCACCACTTCCCATTTCGCCCTTGTCGCTCCAAATGCCTGGCGAATCCCACTCACCAACTTCAAACACGCCATCATCGGCATCAGCTTGATGAACATCGTCGCCGTCGTTTCCGAGAGGCTCGCCAAGCAGATTACCTAGTCTCTCCTCCAGCTCGTGCAGCGCGTTCCGGTCCAGCCATTCCGGAATCGTCGCTTCCCCTGTCAGTCGCGGTCCATTATAGGCGCTTATCGCGGACCGAGTCGAGAATTGCGCCGGCTTTCCGACTTCCGCGGCGGCGGCGGTGGCGAGAGAGCCGCCGAGCAATATATGGTTTACGAGATTCCCGCGCGCGCCGTCGAATGCGGCGTGTTCGCGGGAAGACGAGGAGGGAACGGAGGAGAAATTCAAGGAAGTCACTGTGACGTTTCCAAAATTCCTGGTCGTGGGAAGGCGGCGGTTGGAGAGATCCCGCGCGTGGGAGAACGCCAGGAATGATGTGATAAGCGTCAGCCAGACAGGTGCCGCGAATGGCACAGCCGGCACGATTCGAGGGATTGCCATCACCCGTGGAACCAGTAATGCATCCACGAGTGTTTGTTCTCTGCTGCACAAGAGCACCAAAAGTTGATTCTACCGACTGTGGAAATGATCAAGTAAAGCTCGCGCCTTTCTTTTCGTGTGACTGGACACTGTCAAGGGGAGGAAGGTTCGGTGGATTGGTTATGTGGTCTAAATTCGGGCCATGGGATGGGTCTTGCGAAGGCCATGCGAAGGCAAATGCTTCTCGTCTAGTCCGCACACCAATGGTTTCCAGATGTGGTTGCGACGCGCATCGGGAAATTCGTCGTCCATGTTGGATGGACACGGCTCATTCCACAAAACCCAGCGGACGAGGCTTCTTCAGTGCCAGTTCTGAGATTTGAGATTCCGGTTCAGTTCGGTCCAATGGGAGAGGTGGGTGTGGTAAGGCTCAGTCACCACCAGACCGCACGGCGGCGGACGGCACCGCGAGCAGTTTTTGTGTTCTGTACAGCACTTCCTGATTCGAACAAACATCAATGGAATAATAGAACTGCCAATCTATAAACTGATAATGCATTGTGAAAAGTAGGAACACTGAACAAGACTGTGCAGGGGCAGATTTTATTGTTATTGATGCTTTTGTGAGTGTAAGCAACAAACCTAATATGCTCTTACACAATACACATGAATTGAAAAATGAGTTATACTTGTAATGAAATCGTATTATTGTCCCTATCATTTGGGGTTGGCTAGATATTCTTAGTTATAACTGAAACTACCAGTTACAATCCCAGATGGGGCTTAGCAAAGGATCGCTCAGGGTTGATCGCAGGAAAGTGTTGCAGCGGAAGTTTTGACCTCAGGTCAGAGGGAATGTAAATGACTGAGATTGATAATAACACGCATACATCGAGTTTATTTAGGACATACAAAGTGAATACGAAACGACCTAGACTAGCCATGTACTCTAAGGGGTATATTCTCTTATTAGACCGGAATTCAAACCATGCGGCGCGGGAATCCGTTTCGAAACCTATTTCCGCTCTTTTCAGTTCAAATGCTTCTGCCTGCATCGGACTTTGTCAGACGGTTACCAGAGTCGCTTCGACTCTTCTGACTCCTCGACTTCGTACTCGGTAGAGTCGGCTCCTGCAGCATACAGGAATGCCTTCTTATGAAGTTTCATATCGTAACATTCCCCTTCATTCCTGGGTGCGCAGAGGGCTGACTCGCTTGACTACTCTGGTGAGGTCGCAGCAGTGCTTGTACTGGTGACGTGGCAGTCGCTTGGTGAGAGAGTCGGTTGCCATCTCAGTGGTGGGGCATTATGCGAGGTAAACTTTGCCTTGGTCAATTTCGTCATTGACGAAAAAGTACCGAAGCGCGATGTGCTTCGTGCGGTTCACGAATCCTAGCTTGTTCGCGATCTTGATGGCACTCTGTTTGACGAAAGGTGGGTGAAGTTGGGATTTTTTATTCCTGCAGCAGCTCCTGCAGGTACAGACCTTCGCGAACTGCTGCTGTCGTGGCGATGTATTCTACTTCGGCCGATGACAGGGCAACCAGAACGTGCTTTGTAAATTCCATGAGATTTGTCCTGTTGGCTCCAGGCAGGAGACAAAGCCGGTTCGTGACCGTCGATTCGCAGGATCAGCGGCATGATCTGCGTCCACGTAGCCATTGAGATTGAAGGAGGTTGTCGTCAGCGTGGAGTAGGAGAGCCCGGCGTCAGGTGTGGAAATGAAATACTGCATGGCGCACTCCAGGTCCAGCTAATTCTCAGTACTGGCTTGCGAGAGTACTATGCCAGTTGGCTGGCGATGTACGAAAGGTCGGGTCGCCATTTGACAGAGGCAAACAGCAGGCACCCCAGTTGCTGCTGGTACAGTTGGAGTCCTGCGGGTGACAGAGGGTTGTTGTCCGGTTTGTAGTTGACGCTAGGGTTGCGGTAAGGAGTTGACAGTGATGCGGGTGAGATGTTGAAGCGTTCCCCAGCTGCTCTGCGTATTTGTGTCAAGAATAATATATATTTCTATATATTGTCTTGTAACTGCCTGTAGTGTAGACTACTGTAGTTATATAACGTTCTGTTTTGGTGGTGCACCTTTCCTTCTTGCCTATTTGTACTGCCTGCTCTTTAGTGAAACCCTCTCTTTTTGTTGCAATCTTCTCGACTTACCTAAACCCACTCGAGCTCAACTTTCCTCTCAACTAGCTATGGCTTCTTAGCCTAGCTCAAGTTTTGACAATTTGGAGGATGACAGGTGAATCGCTTCTGGCGCGTAGGTGATGTTCAGCCCCAGAAACCATGTGACATTGTGGTTGATGGTGATGTCAACACGCTATGCCAGGTTCTCCTCGAACTGATTAAGGAGCTTGTTGCAGGTGCCTGTGTAGAGCAGGTTGTCGACGTAGACGGTCAGGAGGATGTAATCGCCGCTAAAGTGGAGGCGGTACATTCCCGGGTCATGAGGCAACTGCCTGGAGCCAATTTCCAGGAGGATTTTGTGCAGGTGCAGTTGCCAGAGACGCGGCGCGTGCTTTATCCCGTAGAGGGATTTCTTTGGCTGACAGACCTTGGGATCTTCTTCCCCGTAGGTGTGTGGCTGCTCCACGAAGATGTTTGCATCCACCAGCGCGTATAAGAACGCATTCTTGACGTCGATCTGCCGCAGTGGCAAGTATGTAGCGGCGGCAATGGTGAGTAGAATCCTGACGCAGGTGTGACGGCTGACGGGAGCGAAGGTTTGATCAAAATCAATGCGGTGGCGCTGGTTGTATCCGCGTACGACCCAACGTGCCTTAAAGCACTCGATAGTGCCATCCTAATTAGATTTCAAGTGAAAACCCACTTTCCTCTTAGCACCATCCTCCCCTTCACTACTGTACGATCGACCAGAACCCACGTGTCGCGTGATTCCATCGCCTTCATTTCCGCGTCCATAGTAGCACGCCACTCCTTGGTGTGAGAACCAGTTAGGGCTTGGCGAGGGTTCTTGGGCTTGACGGCGCGCTTGAGGGTAGTGATAGACGTGTGTAGGCCGAGGATCTGCAGGCCGGACACGTTGATGGTGTCTGTGGTTTCTGCGGTGGTGACCTCCACCACATCATCATCGTCACTCTCGTGGTCAGGTGCGGAGGTGCTAGGCTGAGTATGGCAACGTGATGGTCCTGATGCACGTGTGTCATCGTCGTCGTCATCGTCGTCGCACGGGCGAGGTGGTACGTCGGGATGTTCGTCGGCGGGGTCGCGATTGAGTGCTGCTGCTGCTGCTTCGTCTTCTGGAGATGCAAAGCGGCAACCGTTGTTGGCGTAGACACGTGCGATGTTGCAACTCTGATCCTCGATCCACTGCTCCAAGGTGAGACGCTCGTAGAAGAGAACGTCACGAGCGGGGACGATTTGTTTGTTATTAATGTCAAGAATCAGCCAACCCTGATACTCATGACTGAGCCCCAGGTGGACTCCCCAGCGCGTGCTGTTAGTGAACTTGCCGATTGTGGCCGAAGTCGGCCGATACCGCACCATGCAACCCTAGACCCTCAACATGGAGGTGTCTCCCCTCGAGTCGGTCCACTTCATGTGCGGAGAGAGATTGCCCCTGTTGGCTGTGGTGGAGAGAAGGTTGTGCGGGCGTACGACGTGGTTCATGGCACATGGCCCATATTTCTTGGGTAGGCCGGACTGATTCATGAGGGCACGCACTTTTGTCATGGGGGTGTGATTGACCCTCTCAGCGATGCCTTGCTGCTGGTGAGCGTAGGGGAGTGAGATTCGATGCTTAATCCCCTTCTATGTGACAATGCTCTCCACATGGCCGCAAAATTCCTTGGCACCATCAGTCACCCAGATTTTCAGCTTCTTCCCCGATTGTCGTCATGCGTGTGCGAGCTAGATGCGGAAGACTTCAGAAGCCTTTGAGCGAACGTCGACGTTGGCGATCCAGATGTGGCGTGAGTGTGCGCCCAGAAGGTGAGTGTGTATCGTTCGCCATTGATGCCATCGAAGGTGAGTACCATGAAGTCACTGTAGACTCTCTGCTGTTTCTTATAGCGATTGGTGCTCGGCTCCAGGCAGGGGTAGGCTTGGTGCGTGAGAGCCGCAGTGGGACAGATGGTGCAGGAGGTTGGGTGTGAGGTGCTGAGTGGTTCCGAGCCGTCAGGGCACAATAGTGCTTCTGGCAGAAAGACTTTAGCGCGGAGGCAGTTGTTGAATGTTTGATGCGGGGGGTGGCTGAGTCGTTGATGCCAGAGATCGTCCTCTGCGCGGATTCCTGGAGTATGCAGGTATCGTGCATGGTATTCTGCCGCCTCTACTTCTGTCTCTTGGGGAATTTGGAGTACTGGTCCTTCTTCTTCTCCTGGTTCTACTTCGTTGTCCGGCTCCTCTGCTTCTGCTTTTGTCTCCCCTTCTGCAGGTGCCGTCGTGAGGTAGAGTGCGAGAAAGTTGCGGGCAGGGATAATGTTGAGTGGATTCCTAGTGCCTTCGATGAAGCGAGCGAATGGATCTGGGCGTGAGATTGGCCCAAGCGAGTCATAGGGAGGAGTTGGTGGCACGTTCCCCTCCTCAATCTCCGACCGAGAACTTTCCCAGCGATAAGGTGAGCGGGGTGGCGAAGAGAGGTCGCGCGGAGGACGCCTGAGTGGTATGGTGACTCGCGGGGGAGGTCTTTCGGCAGCCATCTCCCTCTCTTTTGCCTCTATTTCTTCCTGGGTGAGCTCGCCTTCTACAAGTTCTCGGCGTTCAGTGTCTCCCCATCCGCTAGTTCCCATCCTTGAACGGTGCCCGAAGCACTGGTGGCAGATCCCCAAGTTGTTGCGGTGCCTTTGTTGTTGTTTCCTCCCCATCGACCGCGTCGTGCTGACTCTTTGTCCCATCCTGCCGCTATGCGCTCCTCATGCAGCTTTGCCTTCTTCTCTGCCCGTGCCTTGTCTTCCTCCTCTTTGACGCTCAACTCCTCTTCAGGATCTTTCCATGTCTTGTCGATAAGGTTACGGTAAACGTCCCGGGTGTAGGGCCGCAAACGATTTTCCTCGTC